CAGTACTTCTCTGTGTCAATCGAGTCCGGAAGGTGGAGCCGCTGCTTAGACTATTAGCTGGAATGTATCAATGAATGCAACCTCTATTTATACTCTTCAAATCTACTACAAAGTTGGGGTTTGATTAAGGATTCAAGAAATGCAGTTGTCCTCCATTTTTTGCGATTTTTGTCATTTAAATGTTGACATTTCTTATCACTGTTCAAAGAAATTTTGATAATGATAATGAGAAATGTATATATATACATTTTGAAATTATTGATATTTTAAGAAAACTTTAGAAACAGATCTTCCTGTCACTGTAGTGAAACTGCTTAATGTTCTGTTAAATCATCATCTTTTCTTACAGAACAGTATTATACACAATCTGCTTTTAGACTGAGAATAAACAGAGAAATCATAAAAAAAAAATAATAACACAGTATAGAATCTACAGATGGTTTGAGAGTGTCAAGACACGGATTTTACTAATCAAGAGTGCAATCATTCATTAACAATTTGAAATCACAGTTCTCCCAATTGTATGTAATGAACAATCTGAAATGTGCATGATTTTACAAAAAGTAGAGGAGTTTTATGTATGTCATTTTATCTGTGTATAATGACATGAAATAGTAAATACTTATGTCTACATGCTACTAACAAAGTAGTTAGTCTATATACACTGAAATGAAAGCCAACTGTTCTCCGTCACACTTACACACCAGAAGTGTCTGACTCAAGCAAGTCCAATCTGACTTTTACAAAACCCATTAGAAAGAAAAATAGAAAAATTATAAATACCAAGATACAAGAAATCTAATGATTCACAATACAATAAAAGTGCTATCTACAATATCGAATATAACAAAAGTAAAAAAAAAGAAAATAGAGTTACAATTATTCCAAAAATGCATTAACAGCTTGCATTTTCACAAAACACAACAACTTGAATGCAGTTCAGCATACCATAACATAAGGGTACGTACCTGGGATGTATCGAGATCTCCAACAAATAATCTCACTAAATCCTCGGCGAAACGAAGGAGAGCGAAGAGCGTAGATGATGGGATTGCAGGCGGAGTTCATGTAGCCAAATAAGTAAGCCTGTGTAAAGCCTCACAGAGTTAATAAAAGAAGTGATTTTTTTTTCTATGTCTGGTGGACAATTTCAAATTTGATAGCTCTCCATTAAAGCATTTTGGCTGTAAATTTTATCTTCTAAACTTTTTACAATACTAAAATGTCTGCAGTTTCAAATGCAGACCTTCTTACTCAAACAGGGAGAAATTAAATTCATCTAAATAATAATATCTCAAATACTGTAGCAGTCTAACAAAATAGTGGGCTAACTTACAATTGGATTAAATATCCTTGGTACTCTATCTTGTCCCAAAAAGACTAAAGAGAGTGAGTACACAATGTATGGCAACCAGAACAGCACAAACACTGATAAAACAATGCACAGTGTCTCAGTAATCTGCTTCTGCTGGATGAGGGAGTTGCGCACATTCACATCAGTAAATTCTTGCATCCTGAGGAGAGTAATTCAATTCAGATATAACACAATCAACAGAACAGGACATGTATATACTTATTGACTTCTGTAGGTCCATCTCCTCATAAATCCATATATTAAGTTTCTATATAAACCATTGAAGACCATCAATACTGGACACATTACAAGGGTCCATTTAAAAGGCAAAACTCACCTATAACACATAAACAAATAACAAATAATAAATTGATTAATAGATCAATACCAATAAGACCCAGAACAAAATTTTGCCGCCATATCTAACCTACTAAGGTGATCCTTGACTTCCTTAAATATCTTGTAGTAGCAGTAGCTCATTACCACAAGGGGGATAACCAGGTTGACAGTAGTGTTGAGGCCGGCATGAATGTACTGCAGGCCCTTCTTCGGAGGAGGAGGACCACACTGGGATGCTCCTGTCTTGAAGCCTGCGGGGAAATTGAAGCTTTGATTCCTGAAGCTATTGATGCCTGATGCTGGCAATGCCCACAACACTATTACCTAATTACCATTCATATCAATTACAATATTACCTATCAATATGTTGCACTCGGAAATTTTTGTCTTGCTTGTCCAGAAGACTATATAATACCTGATAGGTAATGATCTTTAACATATTGCCTCTGGAAAGAGTTATCTTGAGCTCAAATAGTTTTCTAAATAATGGTAAGTTGTTTAGTGTTGTCTTTCTGAGGCATGAATAAAACAGTTCTTGAGATGATTACAGCAAGGAAGTAGTTTGTTTGAGTTACACGTGCCATGTAAATATTAGCTTATAAACAGTGTTAAGACAGAGACAGTGATAAAGAATTTACTGATAACAGAAGAAGAAGGAGGTGGGGGAGGAAGGGAGGAAGGGAGGAAGGGAGGGAGGGAGGGGAGAGGAGAGGGAGAGGAGAGGGAGAGGGAGGGAGAGGAGAGGGAGAGGGAGAGGGAGAGGGAGAGGAGAGGGAGAGGGAGAGGAGGAGAGGGAGAGGGAGAGGGAGAGGAGAGAGAGAGAGAGAGAGAAATTCCCTCTCCTTCCTTCCCTCCCCTCCCTCCTTTCCCATTCTCTTCCCTTCTCTTTCTTTCCATCCTCTCCCCTTCCCTCCCTTCCCCTCCCCTTCCTACCCTTCCCTTCTCTTCCTTCCCATCCTCTCCCCCCTCCTTCCCTGTCTCCCTTCTCCCCTTCCCTTCTCTTCCCTTCCCTTCCCTCCTCTCCCTTCCTTTTCCTCCCATTCCCTTCTCTTCCCTTCCCTCCCTTCCCTTCTCTTCCTTCCCATCCTCTCCCCTTCCTCCCTTTTCCCCTCCCTTCCCTTTCCTTCCTTCCCCTTCCCTCCCCCCCTTTCTCTTCCTTCCCCTTCCCTCCCTCCCTCCCCTTCCTTCCCCTCCCTTTCCTTCCCTTGCTTCCCTTTCTTTCCCTCCCCTTCCCTTCTTCCCCTCCCTCCCCTTCTCTCCCTCACCTGTTTCCGTGAGACCGATGATGGGCGTGGGCGTCAGGTTGAAGAAAATGGTCCACGCCCAAGCGACGACGATCATAAGGACGATTTTCCTGGGCGTCACCGATCTCGAGAAGGGCTTAGTGATCGAGATGTACTTGTGGATGCTGTGAGAGGGGAAAATGGGCGGGCAGTGAGTGTATGTCAGCTAACCAGTTATCAAAATTAACTTAATGACCTGGGGATGTTAAGTTTAATTACCATGAATGAGTAATAGTAATTAAAGAGATGTTGATGACAAAACTGACGGGCACGGTCATCCACAGGGCAAAGGCATCAAGGCAAGACTCCAATCCACAAGAGAGCATCCAGTTTTCACTTCCATAATGTAAAACTGGCGGTATCAGGGCATTGTAAACATTATTTGGTCCTGCACAGTTACCGGCATCTCCAAAAACCCTCGTTGACTGAGTTCATGGTATCTGCTGCCAGGCCAATCTGCTTACTGACGTCTTCTAACAGGGTCCCAAAATCCTGGAACTTGATCTTGGGCCAAGAACCTTGATGTTGGCTAGTGTTGATCCAATATACAGGCTTGCTATTAATCCAATGATTCTTGTTGGAATTCCCCTAAGTCTCTGAATTACCCAAAGAGATTCGCGAAGTACCGAGACGAATGCTTTCTTGAGGTCGATGGAAACTGCGAGCACCCGACGTTCGAACTCACGACGGCGCGGCGTGGCGTTCCACGAAGATTCGAAACGCTAGGATATGGTCTATTGTGGACTTGCCAGGAGTGAATCCAGAGTACTCCGGCCTCTGGTGCCTCTGTAGGTGGTCTCGGATCCGTCTCAGAAGAATATGAGCAAGATCGTTGTCCGGTATGCTAAGCAGTGTGATGCCACGGCTGTTGCTACAGTCCCAACGATCCCCTTTCCCCTTCCAGAGAGGGATTACCATACCCTTCAGCAGATCAAGGAGAATGGTACCAGACTGCCAGATGGCACCCTGGACAGCATGCAAGCCCCGCGCCATAGGTTCACCACCAGCCTTTGCTAGTTCAGCAAGGATACCGCATATGTCGGCTGCTTCGTCACCATTCAGCCTAGAAACCGCTAACCCCAGTCAGGTTAGGAGGATCTTCGCTGATGGGTGGATCCGGTACAGGGATTGTGACACCACTTGCATCCAGACTAACTGCTATTACAGCTGCTCAGAATATCAGCCCAGCGTTCACGAACCCCAACACGTTCTGAGATGATCCGCCCATCCACTGAGCGGACTGCAGGTGTCTGTGAGAAGGGCTTGGGAGTTCAGCTTTCTCAGGACTTGGTAGGCCGAGCGAAGGTTATTTACGGAGAAATTATCTTTGACCTCAGCAAGATTACTTATATATTGTTCTTTATTCCTTCTCAACAGCGCCCGAGTCCTGTGCACCAAGGAACGTCGCAAATTCAGTCGAGCAATAATAATAATAATAACAACAATAACAGAAATAATATAATCTAATAAATTAATGAACATCAATAAAATAATGCATGAAATAGATACAAAGTAAATATAAGAAAATAAAAAGTAAATAAGTAAATAAAATAGATTATACAGAAAAGGGAAAAGAATGAATGTAAGTGAAAAAAGTATATTCGCAAAATCAACAAACAAAAGACAACCTAACATGACTAAGATAACCATCGCCACACACCAACCAACACGCAAAGACACACATAATAACCTCATTTTTAATCCCTCTCTTGTAAGAACAATAACCTGCATTAGACACCTCACACGCAAGCACGGGGTGAGCGGTTAGGGCGAAATTCCCATTCGAAACCAAGCAACTGTGAGCCTTATGGGTGTGGGGTGATTTCCGGTAAGGGATTGTGTAATATGAGAATTAGATTTTTCATTATATTTCGACATATTTCATTCTATTTGATTATATTTTGTTATATTCTTCGTCTATGTTTTTGTTGATCGGTTTAGGATTCTAAAGGCAACGATAAGTAACAGTTACAGTTATAAACGGTAACTAAAGTTATAGAAAATAGTTACAAAATGAAAAAATGAAATCTCATGATGATCATAATAACAATGATAATAATAATATTAATAATAACAATAAGAATATAATATTACTAATAACAATAATAATAATATTAATAATAACAACAATAAACAATGACAAAACAAAAAAACAATAAAACAACAGTAAAAACAAACAAATAATAGCAATACAACAAAATGGTCAGCTGTTCATTCTTAAAAAACAAAATTTCTCGGAAATTTTCAAAAGTTATTCATGAACATAATCAAAGGAACATTTTGCAGAGACGAAAGCAATAAAGATGGCTTGTTAAGAAAGCCTTCCACGATTTATTTTTCTTTCCAGAGATAGAGAGATGATGTCACGATGTCAGGACAAGCAAAATATGATGAAAGGAAAGAGGAAGAAATGGAGGAGGAGGAGGAGGAGGAGGAAGAAGAAGAAGAAGGAGAGGAGAAGATGAAGAAGAAGGAGGAGAGAAGAGGAAGAAGAAGAAGGAAGAGGAGGAGGTGGAGGAAGAGGGGGGGAAGTGAGAGAGAAGAAAAGGAGTAGAGGAGGAGGAGGAGAGGAGGAAGGAGGGGGAGGAGGGGGGAGGAAGAGGAGGCGGAGGAGGGAGGAGGGGGGGGGAGGAAGAGGAGGCGGAGTAGGAGGAGGAGGAGGGGAAGGAAGAGGAGGAGGAGGAGGGGAAGGAAGAGGAGGAGGAAGGAGTAGGAGAAGGAGAGGGAGAAGGGGCTGCCAACAGCATGAGCAGAAATGAAGAATAACAAACCACGGACAAGAGAATGAATAAAACGAATAAAGAGTGGAAGGAGGAGGACGAGAAAATGAGAACGAAGGAGAAAGGCAACATAAGAGAAAAAAGGAGGAGATAACATAGTAAACAAAGACGCTCCTTGAGTAAGCATCAAACGGCCTACATAAAATGACATTCAAAAACACATCAGCTGTCAAACACCCTTCGTTTTGCACGAATTCGTCAACACGAAAAAATAGAAAAAACAAAAAAAAAATGCCACGACGTAGCATAAACAGTTTCAGTGTTTATCGCTTTTTTGTTTGTTTTTCTCTTTCTTCTTCTTCTTCTTCTATTCCTCCTCCTCTCATCATCATCATCATCATTCATCATTAATTATTATTATTATTATTATTATTATTATTACTATTATAATTATTATTATTATCATTATCATTATCATCATCATTATTATCATTATTATCATCATACTTTTCTTCTTTTCTTTTTCCCTTCCTTCTCCCCTCTCCTTTTCCTTCTCCTTCTTTTCTTTCTCCTTCCCCTTCCCCTTCCACTTCTTCTCCTTCTCCTTCTCCCTTTTCCCCTTCTCCTTCTCTTTCCCCCTTCTACTCCTTTGCTCCTTCTCCTTCTCCTTCTCCTTTTCTTTCTCCTTCCTCTTCACCTTCCTCTTCCCCCCCTTCTCTTCCCCTTCCCTTCTCCTTCTCCTCCTTTGCTTCTCCACCTCCTTCTTATCCTTCGTCTTTTTAATGTCCCCAAAAGGAGTGTTATTGCTGGCCAATCGTGCCTCCGACACCAAGATACAGATCCTTGAGAAGACCAGCTGACTGTTCGGGGGATACGTGATCTGAGTCCGTGAAAAAAAAATGAAGGAAAAAAAATGTGAATGTGTTTATGGTATCGTGAATGTCTCCCTCCTCCTCCTTCTCCTCGATCACTTTCTCTCTTTTTCTCTTTCTGTTTTTTAGTTATCTTTCTTTCTCTCTCTTTAATCTTACTTTATTACTTTTTTTCTCTTTTTCACTCATTAATTCATTCATTTATTCACTCATTCACTCACTCTCACTCTCGGAGTTACTCACGCACTTTTCGATCCTCGATAGTCTTACTTTAAAAGTATGAACAACAAAAGTAACTTTTGTTGTTCATATACTCTCACTCTCTCTCACTCACTCACTCACTCTCTCTCTCTCTCTTCATCTCCTCCCTCTCTCTCTCTCTCTCTCTCTTCTCTCTCTCTCCTCTCTCTCTCTCTCTCTCTCTCTCTCTCTCTCTCTCTCTCTCTCTCTCTCTCTCTCTCTCTCTCTCTCCTCTCATCCTCCTCCTCTCCTCTCTCTCTCTTTCTCCCATCCTCCTCCCTCCCTCTCCTCCCTCCTCTCTCTCTCTCTCTCTCTCTCTCTCCCTCTCTTCTCCTCTCTCTCTCTCTCTCTCTCTCTCTCTCTTCTCTCTCTCTCCCTTCTCTCTCTCTCTTCTCTCTCTCTCTCCTCTCTCCCTCCCTCTCTCTCTCTTTTTCTCCATCCTCTCCACTCCTCCTCCCTCCTCTCTCTCTCTTCTCTCTTCTCTCCTCTCAGATCATCTTCTCTCTCGTCTCCATCTTCTCTCTCATCAATCTCTCTCTCTTCTCTCTCTATCTATCTCTCCTCCTTCTCTTCTCCTTCTCCTTCTCACCTCTCCCTTCTCCTTTCCGTTCTCTTCTCCTCTCTCCTCTCCTTCTCCTTTGCCTCTCCCGACTAAAACCCGAATCCCGTCTCCTTTTCCCTCTCCTCATAACAACTAAGTCAACTTTCCTCACCACGTCTGTATATTTATCTTAAACAATCACCTAAGGCATTATCCACAATATATTAGTAATCTTATCCTCTATCTCTCTCTGGTCTATATCACTATTCATACTAATCTCCATCTCTTTCACTCATATCTCTCTATATATATATATAACTCTCTCTATATCATCTTACATTCATACTCATCTCATCACATACTATATATATCACCTACTCATTATTCATGTATATTAGTCTATATATAGTCATCCTCTATAGTTTCACATCTCACTCTCCCATCTCTCCAAGTAACTATAATTACAACCTATTATCTCATCTTCTACTCCTCATCTATATTTCATCTCTCTATCTATACTACATCTCAATAACTACCTCTCTCTCTATCTCTCATATCCTTACTCTATATAATACTCTATACTCTTACTCTAATCTCTCTCTCTCTCGTCTATTACTCCTGATCTCTCTTCCTCCTCTCATATTAACTATATATTTATAACATGGTATAATATATATTAATACTCTCCTACCCCTATCTCTCTCTATTAAGTAATACTTAAATATTCAACTCATCATTATAATAATATATACACTTCATACTATCTCCTTCTCTATTACTCATATCATATATCTCTATATATATAATATTCACATGTATTATATATATTAA